CCAGGGTGAGGTCAGTGTGTTGCTGAGACACCAAGTGGAGTAAGTCGCTAGCTTTGGGCAGGATTTCTGCCCTGTTAGGGGAATGGGTTTGCAGTTGGAATGGGAACCAGTTCCCCAGTAATGGCTGGTTTGCCACCACTGCCCTTCCTCTGGGAAATTCAGGCCCATTTCTTTCCCAGACGTGGGCTTGCTTTGTGGGTGACGGAGATGTGAATTGAGTGACTATTGAGGAACGCTAATGGTGAATTGAGGCCAGGGTCTGACTGGGATTTTCCGCACTCGGCTACACAGATCCCCGTCCCCGTGCTGTTGAGAGTGGGGTCCACCTGCCTGGGCACAGCAGTGGCTAGCGGCTACCATTCAGAGGGCTCCCTCAGGCCACGTTTTAGCATGTTTTGGGTTTTTTTTTGAGTATCCCCCCCTTCCCCCAGTTTTGCCCAGGGGTGGCTGTGCCTTCAGCTGCCTGGGCCCCGAGCTCTGGAATTCCTTCCCTGAACCCCTCAACACTCGCTGAGACCCACCCTGCTGTCACCTTCTTTGTCAGTTTGTCCTTGATAACCCTAACATGAAGCACCTTGGGATGAGTGAACATTAAAAGGTAGTATGTCACTGCAAGTTGTTGTTGTTGACGTTTCCACTCCCCTCCTTTCAGTCGATGACGGTTGATCCCGATTTGAAAACGCGGGAGGAGAAGGACGCAGAGCTGGACCGGAGAATTGAAGCTCTGCGAAAGAAGAACAAGGCGCTAATGAAGAGACATCAGGTGAGCAGTCGACATGCCCAGAGGGTTCATGGGAACACTTCAGGGCGAGTGTTGGCGAGTGCCAAGCTCTCCCCAGCCCCAGTCATCCCGTTACCCCACGTGCAACCACCACCCCCACCCCAACCCATATCCCAGCCAATCTCATCAAGTTTCACCTCCATTAATGCCCCCATGTGTCAGTCCTTTTCGAGTTGGACCCCACCCTCAGCCAATCTCTTGACACCAAATCAGAGATGGGACTTTTACTCTCCATCTCCATAAGGAGAGGCAATGACCTAGTGGTACTATTGCTGGACTGTTAATCCAGAGATCCAGATAATGTTCTGGGGACCGGGGTTCAAATCCTGCCGCGGCAGATGGTGGAATTTGAATTCAATAAATATCTGGAATTAAGAATCTAGTGATGACCATGTTGGAAAAACCCATCTGGGTCACTGATGTCCTTTAGGGAAGGAAACTGCCATCCTTACCTGGCCTGGCCTACTTGTGATTCCAGACCCACAGCAATGTGGTTGACTCTGAATTGCCCTCTGGGCAATTAGGGATGGGCAATAAATGCTGCCTAGCCAGCGACGCCCTCATCCCGTGAACGAATAAAAAAGAAATCACCCAACCTCCTGAATACGAGCTATTGAGCGATGATCTACGTAGCCCCACCAGGCCAATCAACCTCCTAGCCCAGCGTGGAACTATTTTGGGGGGTGGTGGTGGGGGGAGGGATGGGGATTGGGTGTGGGTGTGTGCGGGGGCAGGGAAATGGTGAGGGACCTGGGTTCCGATTCATTGTCCCTTATAGCCCCCCCGCCCACCTCAAAACACGTCACCCAGAGAGACAGCAACATCTGACCTCTGGGCGAGTTACAAATATTTCCTTTGGCAGTAGTTTCTCGAATTTTAGTTTCTCTGGAGCAGCTCAGATGGAACGAGGATTTCTTTTATTTTTAAAAATATTTGGTTTTTGAAACAGGAAATTGAAGAAGATCGGAAAAAGGCGGAAGAGGATGGTGTCTCTGTGACCAATCGGAAACCCAAACATGAGGCAGAACACGAGCGCAAGTGGGGGGCAAAGGAGACTACGATGGGTGTCAGTGACCTGAGTAAATCACCAGTCGTGAGTGTTTTTATTTACTCATTCACAGGTTGAGGGTATCACGTGCTAGGCCAGCATTTATTGTCCATCCCTAATTGACCGGGGGTGGGGGGGTGTAGTTAAGTGTGACCCACATTGTGACCAGGTAAGGACAGCAGTTTCCTTCCCTAAAGGACATTAGTGAACCAGATGGCTCATGGTCACCATTAGACTCTTTAATTTCATCTGCTGTCATGGGACTTGAACCTGGGTCCCCATTACCTTGGTTTCTCCATTGACCGTTCAGCAATAATACCAGTAGGCCATCACCTCCCCTGGTAAAGTCCTCAACGAGCAGAGAGGGCATTGGCTTAATGTTTCTTCTGGAGAGAAAGATAAATTTCTTGTGACAAGGCAGGGCTCCCTGGGCGCTGACACTCGGGCTGGGCGGCGCTCCCTCGGCGCTGACCCTCCGGCTGGGCAGGGCTGTGTTGGCACAGCTCTGGCTGCTTTGTGTTGCCATTTCAAGTGAGCAACTGTTGTGTCAAAGATTCAAGATGCAGAGAGAATCTCCCCAGCCCTGGACCCGATCCTGAACAAAACCTGTTTGCGGGGCACTGATGGCAAACTATTTACACCTATTTTTTTTTTTCTCTTTGTCTCTCGCAGGAGAAGCGATCCATGAACAATAAAAAGACGGTGACCTCTCCCCGGAGATCTGTGGACCCTCCCGGGAGACGGTCTGGGACGTCCGGTCCCAGGCAGGAGGCTACAGACCGGGACAGGAATCAGCAATCCCCGGGGAACAGGGCCGACAGGATGACGTGGGGAGATCACCCAAACAGGAGCCCCCGAAAGATCAGCGGACACGAGAGCCCGAGCGGAGGGAGACCGGGTCGGGGAGAGCTGGGGGGACGTGCCAGAAGAGGCCGTGCGGGGGGAGGTGGTCCTGACGGAGCAGGGCGTGGATTAGGCAGTGCCTCACAGCAGGAGAGGCGAGTCAAGGTGGGTAAGGCTGGGAAGCGTCTAAACCAAGGAGCATGTACACACACAAAAGGGATAAGATAGAGTCAGCACAGAAAAAGGCCCTTTGCCCCATTGAGTCTGTGCTAGTCACAAACAACCACCTCACTATTCCAGTCCCAATTTCTGAGTTGGCCCATAGCCTTGGCATTGCAAGTGAACCTTTCTTAAATGTTATGAAGGTTCCTGCCTCTCCCACTCTCACAGGCAAATTCCCATCACCCACTGAGAGAGTTTTTTCCTCGTATGTCCTTTAAACCTCCTGCCCCTTTACCTTAAATCAATGCCCCTTGCTCACTGATCCCTCCGTCAAGGTCTATCCTATCTATGCCCCTCAGTATTTTCTACGTCTCAGCCATGTCTCTTCTCAATCTCCTCTGCTCCAGGGAACCCAACCCCAGTCTGATCAATTTCTCTTCACGACTGAAGCCCTCCAGCTCACTCTCCACTCTGGTAGATCTCTTCTGCACCCTCTCAAGTGCTATCACATCCCTCCTATTACATGGATTCCAGAACTACACACAATACTCGAGCTGTGGACTAACCAACTTTATAGACAGTTCCAGCATCACCTCCCTGCTCTGAAACTACTCGCGCCGAAACAGGCCATTCAGCCCACTTGCTCTGTGCTGGCATTTCTGTTCAGCACACAGACTCTCCCAACTTCCTTAATCCTCTGTTTTGAGGAAGAAGTGATGACAATTTAACATCTTTAATGTAGGAAAGTCCCTCCGTGATCTGTGTCTGTGTTGACCGTATCAATTTAACCATGTTCCAGAAGCACATATCACGAGCCAATGGAATGGGGTTTGCTGGTGTGCAGAACCAGTTCAAAACTGGATCGGGGATTGGGGAGGAAGTGGGTGATTGGCACGAAGTAATGATGCTCGTTTAACGAGCCGGTGCAGGCAAGATGGACTGAATGGCCTCCCGCTGCTCTGTCAGAATTCTCTCATTCTATTTTCTTCGATTATGCATGACAACGAACCTTAAACTAATTTATTTCCATTCACAAACTTCCTTTCATTGCACAGAATCGTAAATCAACATGAATAAATTGCTCATTAGTGACAATGTTAGGGCGCAGGAGGAGGCTGTTCGGCCCATCGTGTTTGTGCTGGCTCTTTGAAAGAGCACTTCAATTAGTACCATACCCTGCCTCTTTCACCAGAAACCCTGTCAATGTTTTTTCTTTTCAATAATTTAGCAGTTCCCTTTGTTGTGTGTGTGTATACCTTGCCATTAAGAGAGTTCACTGTTTTAACGACACTATGTTCTGTGTGAACACAGTGTCAAGACACTGATAGCCAATTCACAGACTACTTACAGCACAGAAGGAGTCTGTTTGGCCTATCAGGGGAACAGAATTAAAGTTCTTGGTAAAAGAACCAATGGGTTATAATAGTCAGGAACACACTTCCTGAAAGTAACTTTCAAAAGGGGTATTGTGTTAACGATTTAGTGAAGTTGTTACAGACTTACCAGAGCACAAGGCAGCTCTGTGATTAGAGGGCGAGAGAGACGGAGAACTGGTGGCAGGTCACCCTGAGGGGACCATGCCCAGGGAGAGGTTGAGAAGGAGAGTCTTGCCCACCCCCCATGGCATTGTCAGCTGGTACAGGAATTGATCCCACGCTGTTGGATCACTCTGGCATCACAAACTGGATATCCGACCAACTGAGCTAACCAACTCCTAATGAGGATAATGGTCTAACGATCAGTTATTGGTCGGGGTATATTTAACTCTGTGGGCTAGTTTAGATAACACAGTAAAACATATCACAAGTTCAGAAGTACACAATACATCAACTGATTTCTGTGTGAGCTTGCTAACCCACAGAATGATTGACTTCGCTGATTTAAGGTGATTTGCAAAAGTGAGGGTGATGTGAGGAAAATAGAAATAACCTTTTCACACTGTATTGTTAGTGTCCAGGATGCACTGCTTGGAAATGTGGTTACTTTGAGAGATGTGATGGCACTTGAGCTTAGATTTCAGGGCCTAGAGACAGGGGCACTGCTGCTGCACCTCAAGACAGGACGGGCGCAGATGTAAGATTGTGTTAATACTTGTCAGACATCCTTCAGCGATCGGGCAACTATTTAAAACTAGCAGGGTTCTGGATATTACCCTATGCAGTAGCTTTGCAGCCTGTAGTAGACCTTGTTTCTGCTGTTCCCTTGTGTACGGTCGCTCTTCCATTAGAAATAGTTTCTAGTTTTGAAACTGTTGTGAAAACTTGACTGAAAATGACACTTGATGTGTCAACATTGCTGGCTAACAAAGGAAGGCAAGAAATCACTGAAGATTAATTTGCTGCCTTTTGCAGTGAACTGGGACCTCCCAAAGGCTTGGGTCATTTGACAAGGAAAGTGGTTTCTGACATATGGGAGTGAAAGTGCACCTTTCATTGATTAGCACTGAGAGAGAGAGCTCCGTGACCTATCCATGGTAATGGTGGACACGTTCTTTTATCCCTAAAAGAAAAGCAAATAGCTGCAAATCTGAAATAAATAAAAATCCGTGCTGGAGAAACTCAGAAGGTCTGGCAGCACCTGTCGAGAGAGAAAAACAGTTAATGTTTTGAGTCCAGTATAACTCTTATTCAGAGAGATGGACCTTCTCTAGTGTTCCTTTGAATCTTGAACAACATCTCCTTTTCCGTATTCTCACTTAACAGCCTCTAGGACTCAATATTGAGCTCAAAAGGTTCAGAATGTGAACTCTGTCCTCTGTTTTGTTGACTTTTCTCCGTTCTGTTCTGTCTTAACTCTCTTCCCTTTTGGTTTAAAATGCCTGGTTGGAATTCTTTAGGACCTGCTGTTTACTACTTTGTTGAAATGACAGCATTAAATTGCTCGAACTGCACTCACTGCACCTGGAAAGAGAGGGCAGGATGACCCAGGGCTTCCCAGACAGTGGGTCACAAATCAGACCTTTGGGGCTGCTGTTCTCGGACAGCAGTGCAAGCAGCTGCGTGGCCCCTTTAAATCCTCACCATATTTTTGAGCAGTGTACTTTGCCTCACTTTCCAATCGTTGTGGCCTGATTCCTCACCTGCAAATCCCCAGGTGGAAAGGAAGGTGCTTGTTACTTAAATCCTCCTGAGGATTTAACAGATCGCATCCACTTCTCTGCTTTCATGGGTCCTCCCACCCACTCCCCTCTTGCTGTTACAGACCCCTCCCCAACCCACTCACCCTTACTGTCCCTCTTCAAACATCAAGGTGAGTGTCACAATATGGGAAGGATTTGGAGGCACCAGGCTAATGCCACTGCTGAACATCCTTTTATTTGAAAAACAGCCTCGTGTGTTTCCCAGTGCGGACCTTGTTTTGGATGTGGTCCTGTTGTTTTCCGATGCAGGCAGAATAATGGCCAACTCTATTCCAAATGTGACCAACTGATCCTAGTGGTTAACCAGCCTGCACCTCTCGGTGGGGTAATTTGCCCAACATTTTGGGTTTTGGTATCTTCTCTGGTTCAGGGTGTCAGAATTGTAATCCAACCTCTACCGGGCCTTAACAGTTTCACCAATTGGGATTATTGCTTTCTTTATACTTTGGGATCCCAGCAGAAGCTGAATGGACGAGTCACGAGCAACATACGTTCTGAGACTGAGTTCAGATTCCACCACGACAGATGGTGAAATTTGAAACCAATAAAATTTATCACGCAAAGCTACGTTGTTGTAAAAATCCAACTGGTTCATTTTTCTTCGGAAGGAAATCTGCCATCCTTACCTGGTCTGGCCTACACGTGACTCCAGACATGCAACAATGTGGTTGACTCTTACCAGCCCTCAGAAATGGCTGAACAAACCCCTCGTTTAAGGGTAATTAAGGATTGGAAGTAAAGGCTGGCCTAGCTAACGATGGCCACATCCCATGGATGAGTAATCAAACAAAATTACAGCTCCCAGTACAGAACTTGGTAGAGGATTGGGTTGGGGTGGGGGGAGGTGTTTGCTGCCTTCAGGATATGGTTTGGTTCTGAGGTTGGGAGGGAGAGTATGAGGAAGTGGGATTAGGCAAGATATCAAGGTAGTCTCTTCATTTTTTACAGGAATGGGAGGAAAAGCGAAGACAGAACATTGAGAAAATGAATGAAGAAATGGAGAAGATCGCTGAATACGAAAGGAGCCAGATGGTGAGTTAACGAGAGTGAGTTTGTCCTTTAATCCTCAAGCTTCCATTTTGGGTCTTGTCCAGAAGCCAGAATTCTGGAAGAATATACAAAAGCAAAGTTGCTGGAAAAGCTCAGCAGGTCTGGTAACATCTGTGAAGGAAAACGGAGTTAACCTAAGTTCTGAGGAAGAGTCACCGGACCCGAAACGTTAACTGTTTGTTTCCTCCCTTCACAGATGCTGCCAGACCTGCTGAGCTTTTCCAGCAACTTTGTTTTTGGTCCTAATTTACAGCATCCGCAGTTCTTTCGGTTTTTATTCTGGAAGAATGTGCTGAGGCTCCCCCCTGTTCAATCGTTTTCAAAACTGGTTTGCAGCAATTAGGATTTGCTTAAAGACATAACAAGACCCTTCTTCACACCCTTCTTCTCCCTTTCTGAAGAAGGTTCCAGACCTGAAATGTCAGCTTTCCCGCTCCTCTGATGCTGCTTGGCCTGCTGTGTTCATCCAGCTCTACACCTTGTTATCTCAGATTCTCCAGCATCGGCAGTTCCTACTATCTCTAAGATTTGCTTAAAAACTCTTTCAGGTAGTGGAGAAACTGGAAGTCATGGTCAGGTAAAATTATTACAGATTAAACAAAGAATGAAGGAGAGTCTGAAATGATGAGTGGAAATTCAACGGAAGGTTCATGTTAGAATAATACAGTGCAATAAGGCCATTTGGCCCATCGTTTTATATCTGTCATTCCTAATGCAAGCTAGTTTATATTAGTTGCCCTGGTTCTTAAATGCACTGAGCTAGCTACAGATTAGAGGTCTTAAGTTGGTAATTGGTTGCCTGTAATGGTCGTGATATTCTTATTGGTGTTTGTAATGGTCTATGGTATTCGTGTGTTGTGTTTGTAGGAGTCCATGGTATTGTTGTTGGCCTGTGGTGTGGATGGGTGAAAAATCAGCCAGAGTTCCTGCTCCTGGTCGCTTGGTTAAAAGGTAGAGAGACAGGCCATTCTGCCACCTCTGATATAAATACAAATAGTAACCATTGCACAGGTACAATTACATTTAAAAGGCATCTGGATGGGTATGTGAATAGGAAGGGTTTAGTGGGATATGGGCCAAATGCTGGCAAATGGGACTAGGTTCATTTAAGATATCTGGTCAGCACGGACAAGTTGGACCGAAGGGTCTGTTTCTGTGCTGTACATCTCTAGGCTCCTATTTCATATGGAGTCAAAAGTAGACCATTCGACCCCTTGAACCTGCTCCACCACTCAATAAGATCATGACTGATTGGTTTGTGTTTCAAAGTACACATTCCCATCTCCCAATAATCTTGATAGAAAAGGAATCAATCCACCCCCACCCTTTAAAAATATTTAATGAATCTTACTTTCACCACTTTGTGCGGCAGAGGGTTCCAAAGTTGCAGCCCTCCGAGAAATAGGAAGGAAATCTGCCATCCTTACTAGGTCCAGCCTACATGCGACTCCTCATCCCTGTCCTAAAAAGGTAAACACTAATTTTAAAACAGTTGGCCCCCTGGTTCTGGGCTGACCCACACGAGGAAGCATCCTTTCCATGTTTGTCTTGTCAGACCATTCAGGATCTCGTATACTTCAATCAAATCACCCCTCGCTCTTCCAAACTCTGGGTTTGTCCATTGCTTTCAAGGTAGCAGAAGATGGTAATTGCGAGGGGTATTTCAGAAAATATTGAGATTGGCAGTTGTTTGTAATTTGTTGGATACAAGTTTTTACATGTGAAATAGTGAGGTGAGAGACTTCAGAAAGTGAATCTGCACTGCCACTTAGTGGTGAGAACCTGCATTACACTGTGACTGTTGACATAGCAAAATTGAATGAGAAATACTGACACAAAAATATGGGCACACTTGCAGCACAATACTGGCTACAAGATATTTGTTAAGCTGTAGATGTATGTTGGGTTTACGTTGCCTTTGGATTGGCTGCTCAGACTCCTCTAGACTCCAATATCGCAACAGAGCACTGGCTCAGATGTTGGGAGGATTTCGGTGTCTAAGGTCAGGTGCCCCTAGGTGGAGCTGAGCATCGAGAAAGAAGAAAATTAGTTGGAAGTTTGCATGTGCACGTATTAATTAGCAGCAGAATCAGTCCATTCAGCCCTTCAACCCTGTACTTTCATTTGATCAGATCGTAACCGATCTGTAATCCTGCCTGATAACGTTTCGCCAACTTACCGACCAAGAATCTGTCTAGTTCAGCCCTAAAAATGTTCTCAGACTTTGCTTCTGTCACCCATCAAGAAGAGACCCTCTGCGAGAAAATAATTCTCCTCGTCTCTGTCTTAAATGGGTACCCTTATTTTTAAACAGTGACCCCCTCATACATTCTCCCGCCAGAGGAAACATCCTTTCAACATCCATCCAGTCAAGATGCCTCCTGTTCTTATATTGTTTCCATCAATATGCCCCTTGGTCAGCAAAACTTCTGCTGATATAATTTTTGTCCAATTATGTTTTAGGAAAGTGCCATCGATGGTAGCAAGCTCCCTTTCTCTGTGGTAGAAAAGTGAAAAGAATATGGAACTCACTCCCACACAGCGTGGTTGAAATGGATAGTGTCAATGATCTTGAAGAGAACTAGACAAGCATGTGAGGGAGAATTGAATAGAGGGTTACAATGGGTGATTTTTAGCTGAGGAATGTCTTGAATTAACAAGAAAATCAAAGCATATTGTAAAGTTGAGGTCACAGATCAACCATGATCTTCTGAGGTGCGAAGGAGGCTAGATATAGGCTAATCCTACTCCCAATCGATGTGTTCAAAGACTAGCAGGAGGCCCAAAGGGAGCATAAACACAGACATCTCCACCAACACCAACCCCACCTGCACCCTGCAACCCCCCACCCCATGCTGTAAAAGGATATTGGGGTCAACTGCAGCTTTCAACACGGAGACTTTCTTGTTGGAGAAATAGCAAACTCGGGTGGGTAAACCAGAGCTGTGATACAGACCAGGGACGGTAGGAACTGCTGATTGCTGGA